GTGTTACTGTAATAGCGTGACAGCGTTTGAATCACATCCCTGCTTCGTTCCTAAACAGGACGACTGCGCCTTTATCTGGTTTACATATTATAAATATATCTGTGACCGTACCTGGAGCGCAGCGGTCTTCTTGTACGTTTTTATTGAATGCACTAGCTGGCTTCCAGCATACTGCCAAGCCATTGTGTCGCCGTGGTCGTCGAATAAGTCTTCAAACGCACGGCAGAGCTTAAATGACTACATTTTTATAATTGAATTGTACTTCGGGACCAAAAAAGTATCACAGTCCCAAATTTGAGACATACATCTGCTTAGAAATAGAAAAGGAAGGACTTACATCACTCTGTAGGGAAAGCGAAGGATAATCTAGTACTCCCATAGCGTAAAGCTGACAAGCCAACGCGACTCTGCCTGGAAGCAAAATGTGCACTGGAAAGATCACGTCTCCTTGAATCCAAACTAAGATCCTTTAGCTCCTCTCTAGTCACTCATTAAATGTACCTTAAAGGAGGAATTCACGACAATAAAGGTCAAAGAAGGGAATAAATTGCGTAGTTGGGAGACAGGCGGACCTCCTGAGGTGCTGAGGGACGCGCAATTGGCTATGAAACTCGCCGCGGTCTATACGTGGCGAGTGATTAGATAGCAGAGAGAGCGTAGTGTTGAAGAGGGCACAGCGATGAGAGTCGCATCAATGCGCAAATCAACGGGCAAGGAAGGGTCCCATTTCTCGGGTTTCGGGCCGTTTCAAATGGTTTCTTCTTCATCCCTGCTCCACTGACCACCTCTACCCTTATTTCCAATGAGCTAACTTTTCATCGTAAATTCTGCCTTTAAGTCACAAGACTCATCAAGGGCACAAGTGAGAGGTTTCGAGTCAGAATCCAAAATTGAGTCATCACGCAGTTCTGCATATCCTAATCCACTAATTAATAATATCCTCGCGAAAGAAACTTGAGGTACAACTAAAGGGCTCACCTATTCCAAATTGTGCAACATTTGTGCGGTCCAAGCAATCAACACAGTTTGTTCTACTTATCCCATGTTGAATGAGAAAGTGTCCATCTGGAGATAAGACAGGCTTGAAATCAGGAAGAGCAGACCGGTGATCCATTGAGCGAGTGTACGGCATCGGAAAGGACTGCAATACAAGCTTATTGATGGCGATGCATAAAAGTATCTAAATGAATTTGAAACTCTACCAAAACTTAGTGAGGATCCGAAATGTTGTAGAAGGACTGGAATCCACCATAGGGGCGCTCGAAGGAAGGCGAACATGTTACTTAAACATCCATGAGCCTGCACTGCTTTGAACCCAATCTCTTCCAACTTGGTTAGTACGTTGGAAGATACTGTGGAAGCCTTGTTGCATCTAGCGACATCGAAACTTAGATATGCAATATGCTCAGATGGTGGGAGGAACTGATTGAAATAGATTGGATAGCCGGGGAACACCGATGAATTCAATGAATAAAACCGTGCGAATAGAATGTGGAAAAGGAGACATCTAATGCGATACGAAGTTATACGAACCTTCAAAAACTGATCATGCAGTAAGCTTTCATGCCTCCGTTTTTCTTTCCTCTTCACAAGATTCATTACAACAACAGGATTGCCATATTTCTTTCGTAGCTCACTGAAAGGACAATGAAACCACAATCACTAAAAAAAAAACAATCTAGTATGTAGTCTGCGCCAGAAATTTGACATTAAAGCCGTGTCTACCGAAAATGAGCTGCTGCAGTTTGAGCGTGAGGTTCATGGATATCGACAAGAATAAGCGGCTTTCCAACGACACCTCTTGTGGCTGGATCTACGAGAGTATGTGCACTGGAGAAAATTTGGTCAATTATAGTTAAAAATGACTTAGAAAAAGATTTCAAAAATGCAGTAGGAAACACCTCAATGGAACGGAACCACGTCGTTGAACAAATGAAGAAAATCTTCCCAGACTGAAATTTGGAGATGAAGACACATCCCAAAGCACTTGCTCTGTTTCCACATCGTTTGCCACACTTCCTTCAGAAGATTATTATCTAATGCCGGAAGGAGCGATCTGTGATCAAAACGCTTCGGATTTTTGCACCTCTCTTTCAAGAATCTTGTACCCGCGTATTCAGCCGATCGCCGTCCAATTAGCGTTAATGAAAGCTTTGTGAACGGCAGGTCGATTAGCTGTTGCCCTGAACACAGCACCCGTTTCACACATCCAAACTGTATCACATTTTCAAGATATCACTAACCGACGTGGCCATGAACGATTTCCAGAAACCACTGCTCACTAACCAAGTTGCTGCGAAGAGGCTCTAAGAGGAAGGTATTCCAAACAAATTTCCTGTCGGAACTCAGAATTCGCTCTCCGTCCTTATCCCATTTTGCCGAAAGAGCGTTCTCTTGGAGAGATCGACTCAGATCATAAGTGTAGGAAAAGTAGAAATCCGTAGAAAGATCGACGGACTGCAAATAAGCATTACACACTGGAGACGGAAAACATCGACAAATTAATAGCGCGCAAATCAGTAGGTCCCTAATTCTCTGGCTAGAACAATTCACCAAAGCTTTTGACTAAAACAATCCAGCAAAGTTATGCAGCGTTTGAAGCTTGGCCTTAGGCTTGCTTCAAGTAAATCATAGATGATCTATTCGGCGCACATCTGACTCATCGGTAAAAGATGCACCCAAGATTCCCGGGTAAAACCATCCAGAAACGGCTCTACCTGCTTTCGACCTGTTTGTAGTCTCTACGAAAACTCTCCGCCATAAGCTCTACTTCAAAAGAAGGACTAAGCCAGACAATATCATATTACTGACACTCAATAATTCACGATTGAATCCCATAGATTATAGCCTTTGCTTCACCGAAACCAAAAATAAATAAATATAAGATTAAACACCAACCTGAAACAGCTTGACATAACGCTGTTCTTCGGTTGAAGTTGACAGACCATCCATTGCAAGAGAAATCATCGCCACTTCAGCAATTTTGTAGATGGAATGATATCCAAAACTCGCAATTATGTTTGCTCTAGTCACAACCTAAATAAACGACCCAACAATTCAAATTCCGTACAGAGGTCCAAATTCAACGTAGGGACCACGACCTAAAAACGCGATTGGGCGGCGGCCAGAGTTTGCGATTTTTGTGGAGTAGATACCTATAGATTCTGTGATTTTGGGATCGTAGGACCGCAAAATCGCGGTGGTCGATACGTATCTACTCCATATTCAAACGGTAAAACAATTGCAAAACGATGGAGCATGACTGTTGCCTCACACAAGGCTACAGCTCGAAATAATTTCGATTTATTTGGACGCGTCTTGACGAAGGAATGTGGGCGCAATGTGCCTCCGGGAGGACGTGGGGGCAGTCTGTAGGAGGGCCACTAGGACCAAACCTAATGCAGAGGGACAATTCTGGAAAGGAGGGCTGTTTACGAACCGAATTCCTTCTTTTTTCTCTAACCATAAGGCTTAGCCCTAAAGTGCGTTTCAGCGAATCTGAAGCCACTTTACGGGCTGCCCCCAGCCTCTCCCACCTCGGAGCCACATGGCGCCGGGATGTGATTCAAACTGAAATAATCATGAAAAACAAGCACTTACTAAGAGGTAGTATCCTTCTACAAAGCGCACTACTCCCAGAATACCAAAGGCATTGCTTATCCTCTCAATAAGACCTGGAGAACCTTTGCGATTTGACTTTGCATTGGAAGCGGCCGAAGAGCGGTATACAACTAAAAATTACGAAAGAAAATATGGGCACGTAATGTCAAGGCTAGAGTAAAGCAGATTCAAAGTGAATTCCTTACCTGAACTGCCTTCCGTGATCGTTGCAAGAAGTTCTAATATCTCCTCCTTGGAGTAGTCAGAGTCAGGCTCACCGGTAAGCAGCGCCCTGGAGTCGATTCGATCTATTTTTAGGACCTTGAACCGCATTCCAGACGCATCACATCCCACGAGGTAAAATCTGCCGGCGGT